AGTCTTTGGTGAAAAGCAAGTTTCAATTTTGTCGATCACAAGTGGACTTGATGAAGCCCCCCAATTAGCTTGGGCAAGAAAGATTGTTGAGCTTGCCCCTCCCAAGTTAGGTGGCTTAACAATATAGATGGACCATTTAGTACAAAATGATGGCAAAAATTTCAAAAGCATGAAAAAAGAGAAGATTTTATAGTGTGTTCACAGTGAAGCAAAAAGTTACTGAACCTCAACTCATGGTTCTGGAATCATACGTAGAAAACAAGTGGCTTGGCAACCGATTTCGGAACCAAAGCCAAGGTACAATTCAGGCTACCCTTCTTTTCTTTTTTCATTTTTTTCTTTAAGAATTTGACGGGAGCATATTTTTTTTAAGAAAATTAAAACCCCAATTTGATCCTCATATTTTGATTAAAAAACTCATTTTGGTTGCTCAACTTTGAAAAACTTTTTTATCCTTAAAATTTATTGTTTCACTTTTTATTCTTTTGTCAATTAAGTGATAATGTAATACTATTCTCCCGTTAAGAGCTTTTCAAAATTTCAGTTTCATTGAGAGAGAAATGAGAGGTAGAGAGAGAGAGAGAGCCCTGGGACGAAGAACACATGGGAAACGGATAGCACAGGCATATGAGAGATTCAGATTTCAGGATAGGGGACAACCTCAACAAGAGGTGGGAGGCTATGATAAGAGAATTTACAACCAGGCAATTCCTTTTTTCTTCACAAACTTTCCAGAGGAATGGTCGTTCGAGCAGATATGGCACACTTTTAACAGAATATGCCTTGGAAGTGTGTTGGAGATTGATTGTCTGGTGAAGAGGGATAGGCTGGGCAGACAATTTGGTTTTGTCCGATTTCTGGAGGTGAAGAATGAAAATGAACTAGAAAGAAGATTAATTGAAGTAAGAATAGGGAACTAGGTCTTACAGGCTAATAAACCAAGGTACACGAAGAGGGATCCCCTAAAAAACCCTCTTCCTATCAATCATCCCAAGGCCTGGATCTGGAGACAACAAAGCTGCAACGGTAATGTTAGCAGACCATCTTATGCTGAGATACTAAAAGCAGCCAATAGCAGGATGGAAGATAGGTCCGAAAAGGAAAGAAGGGAAGAAGGAGCAAAGCAAAGATATAGAAGCAGCAACGCTAGAACCTACAGGTGCAGCAAAGGGAATGGAAACCAAAACGCCAGCACCACCAGTGGTCAGGTATGGAGCTGAACATTGATCAGGAAGATTATGCATGGTTGGGGGAATGCTTTGTTGGGACAGTGTATTCAGTGACCTTGATACCTAATCTGCAAGAGAAATTCTTCATGGAGGGGGTTTTCTTTTGCAAAATAAGACCAATAGGAGGGAGACTAGTGCTATTAGAAGGCAAGGATTATGAGGATCTAAAGGAGCTAGTTGAAACCGGGAAAGACTTGTTGGGGAATTGGTTTGAAGATGTCAAGCCATGGACACCTACAGTGGTAGCAACGGAGAGGTTTGCTTGGATTCGATGTCAAGGGCTCCCAGTGCATGCTTGGAAGTCAGAAACTTTCGAAACCTTTGGAAGATTATGGGGAAACTTTGTATCTTTAGATGATAGCACGATCAGCAAGAAGAGATTCGATGCAGCAAGATTTTTAATCACCACACCATCAACAGAATCTATATCCAAGTCCATCACAGTAAAGATCAATGGAGAATCCTTCACACTCAAATTCTCAGAAGAGGAATCAACAAACATTTTATTCACCATGAGGTCCAACAGAATTTTTCAGGCACCGAGAGAAGAGTACGATGAAGAAAGCAGCTCCACAGATAATCAGAATGTAGTAGATTCCAATTTGGACGAAAACATCCTGGAACAGCTTGAATTTCAGACAATGGGGATTGAAGGTGATGGTGCAAAGGCTTTCTCGGAGAATGACGTGGCAACACCGAATATGGAGGGTGAAAATGAGAATGAGATGGCAAGTCAAAACACTGAGGTGGCAAGTAAAGATGATGAGGTGGTAAGCCAAAATACCGAGGTGGCTGGCGACAAGGTGGAAGGTAACAAAAGAGGTGAAGAAGAAGAAATCAGCACAGGTCCCGAGATTGTGGAAGAATTAGAGGGTATGGCAGAAAGTAGGACGAGGTTTACTGTTGCAAATTCAAATTTTCAACGACTGGCAGAATCAAGAAGGATTGAGGCAGATCTAGATATGGTGAAGTATAAAGCTGATGAAGGGAACTTCGAAAAGGACAGTCAAGAGAGCACCAACGCAGATATGGACAGCTGTGACAAGTCTTATCAACAAAAAAATAAATTAGTTGTAGACTACATGGGAAGCGGGAAAGAAGAAAGAAGTGTTAAAGATTTAAATAATGGGCTGCCAACAAAAGATATGGGCCTACAGGTAGAAATTGGGCCGATAGACCCCCACGTGGTTGACAAAATAAAACCGTCATATGCAGGCCCACAGGAGCAAAATGTGAACTACAGCAACAGATCCAAAATGAGGAACAGAAAATCAGATTCTTCTTTCTGGGATGATTTCGAAAGTGAGTCAGGCATAGAAGCTAACTGGATGAACAGGAACGAAGGGAGAGGGAAAAGGAAAAAGAAGAGAAGAGCAAAGTCTTGTGCATCAGTGTACAGAAATTCCGGGGGATTAGAAGCCTTCTTGGTTCAACAAAAATCCAAAGGACAGAGCAAAGTCGCTGTCAAGACAAAGAAGGAGGTCTGGTTTGAGAAAGATTTGGAGAAGCCAGTTGCAGATGACTCGATCAACAATAGCTGTATTCAGAACTGTAATAAAAGCATCAAAGTGAGAAGTAGAAAACGGAACATGGAAGCTCTATGGTCCCGGGTGAAAGAGTTTGGGGTGACTGCACAAGGAGAGGAGACGCCGGTGTTATAGAAACTGAAAGAAATGGAGAGGTGTGACAGAGAAAAATGGAGAAAGAAGGAAGAAAAGAAACACGGAACAGGAAACCAGGTGATGTCCCACTTCCCATGATTTTACTATCTATTAATATTAGAGGATTAGGGGGGATAGGAAAGAAAAGGGAGATTCGGGAATTGGTTGCTAAACAAAAAATTGATGTTTTGTTTATTCAAGAAACCAAAATGGAGAGAGTAGATAAAAGGTTGTGTAGAATGGTATGGGATTCAGATAACTTTGACTGGGTTGCACAACCTGCAAACGGAGCATCAGGAGGAATACTAATCATATGGAATTCTAGTGTTTTCAAGAAGATTAGTAATTTTGAAGGAGCTGGATACCTGGGAGTTGTGGGGACTTGGGGAGAAGAAAATATTCCCTGCTATTTGGTGAACGTTTATTCTTCATGTGATTTGGCGAATAAAAGAATCCTATGGGAGAATTTATCAAATTTAATATGCTCAAAAAATGGAAATTGGTGTATAGCTAGAGATTTTAATGCCATTAGAAATCTTCAAGAAAGGAAAGGAGGCATTAGTGTAAGGAGGGAGCTGAAGGAGTTTAATGAATTTATTGACATGTGTGGGTTGGTGGACCTCCCCATGATAGGGAGAAAATTTACTTGGTACCAACCAAATGGAAATTGCATGAGCCGCTTGGACAAATTCTTATTTTCTGAGGAATGGTTGCTTAATTGGTCAGATTGAAGCAATGGGGGCTACCTAGAACAATGTCGGATCATTGTCCAATTCTGGTGAAGGATGAAGCACGAAATTGGGGCCTAAAACCCTTCAGACTTTTTAATGTGTGGCTGAAAGATCGTGCTTTTAGAGAAATGATAGAGAAACAGTGGAACAGCTCTAATATCCAAGGATGGGGTGGTTATGTGCTGAAAGAGAAGCTTAAACTATTGAAAAATAGTATGAAGGAATGGACAAGGGATAATGTATAGGCGGTGGACAAACAAATTGAGGATGCAAAAAGTAATATAGCCAAACTTGATTGCAAAGGGGAATTACAGCAGCTAATTGAGGTGGAAAGCTTTCTTAAGAGGGATCTAATGCTAACTCTATGGGAAAACATTCAAAAAAAAAAAAAAAGAGATGGCAAGGCAAAAATCAAGGATGATGTGGATGAAAGAAGGAGCTGCAAATACAAGCTTTTTTCACCGATGCATCAAAAGTAGATGGAGAAGGAATGAGATTAATTCCTTAATGGTCAACAGGAAGGTCTTGTAGGATGTCAGTGAGTTGAAACAAGGAGTGGCCGAATTTTTCAAGAATCTATTCACAAAGGAAGACTGGAAACAACCAATCTTGGAGGGCGTGGATTTTAACAAAATTTCTGAAGCAGAAAAGGATCTCTTAATAGATCCATTCCTGGAAGTAGAGGTCAAAGCAGCTGTATGGAACTGTGATAGCACAAAAGCCCCAGGTCCGAATGGTTTGAGCTTCGGATTCCTGAAAGCAGAATGAGAAGTGGTAAAACCTGATATATTGAAGTTTCTAGCAAACTTCCATATAAACAGCAAGCTGGTGAGGGGCTCCAACTCCTCATTTTTGGTTTTGATACTTGAAAAGGAGAATCTGCAAGGACTTGAAGAGTACAGACCTATTTCTCTGATAGGTTGTATATACAAAATTCTAGCTAAAATCCTTGCCAACAGATTGAGTAAAGTGCTGGATGGTCTTATAGGTGAACAACAATCAGCTTTCATTACAGAGAGACAACTGGTTGATGGAGTAGTCATTGCAAATGAGACAATAGATGAAATTAGAAGGAAAAAACTGAGTTGTTTTCTCTTCAAGGCAGATTTTGAGAAGGCTTACGACAATGTCAGCTGGGAGTTCTTGGACTATATGATGGAAAGGATGAATTTTGGCTCGGTTTGGAGGGGGTGGATTCGAGAATGTCTGCAAACAAGCTCAGTATCCGTCTTGATCAATGGTAGCCCAACAAAAGAGTTTACTATGAGTAGGGGATTGAGACAAGGGGATCCCTTAGCTCCTTTCTTGTTCCTGATTGTTGCGAAAGGGCTTAATGATATCATCTCAACAGCAATTGCAAAAGAACTTTTTGAAGGGGTCCCAATTGGAAGAGGGGATAT